ATGCTGGTCAGATAAGAATCTCATACTTAGCTGTTACATAGAAATCATACATTGTCCTGGAAGCCTGATACAAAGGCAGCATCAAGGTGAACTTTCAAATGGCAGCCTGAATCTGCCATTAAGGCAACTTCCTGTCTGAACAAGAACTGCTTGGCATTTATGATGCTTTCATAGCTTCTCAAGGAGATTAACAGAGTTGGAAGGGACCTTGTAGGTCATCTAGTCCAACCCTCCACCCAAGCAGGAGACCCTACACCATTTCTGACAGATGGTAGTCCAGTCTCTTCTTGAAAGCTTCCAGTGATGAAGCTCCCACAACTTCTGAAGGCAAGCTCTTCCATTGATTGATTGTTCTGTCAGAAAATTTCTCCTTATTTCTAGGTTGAATCTCTCCTTGATCAGTTTCCATCCATGATTATTTGTCTGGCCTTCAGGTGCTTTGGAGATTACTGCAATGTAGCGTATGGGATTATTTTAGAAGATGATTTAGACATTTCAAGTAGTCCAAAACAAGGCTATTGAGACTGGCTGGTATGTTCCCATGTAGCCAACACTTTATCCCTTGACTGATGGTCAGAATGCTTTAGGGCCCAATGCAAAGTGTTTCTGCTGATCTTTAAAGATCTGAATGGTTTTAAGGTATGGTGTTTCTAAAAGGAAGGAAAAATCTTTCTCAGTTGTAGGGACCCTTACATACAAGACCTTCTCTCTTGGGAAAAAAATCAATGTGCTGATGACTTTTTAGCTTTAGACTAAAGGATTCTTCTTCTCCCAGTTTCAGATTTTGTAAAGTTTCTGCTACAGGCACTTCTCGATTTACAACCAGTTGTTTAATGACTGTTTGAAAATGCAATGGCCCTACTGGGGAGGCTGCTTATGACCTGGATTCAAAATTCTGACAGTCAGCCTCCATGATTACATGACCAAACGTTTGGTACTCATCAGCTGGGCCACCTTTACAGCTACTTGCAGTATCCCACGGTCACGTGATCTCATTTTACAATGAAAACTGGATTTACTTCTGGTTTTGGGAAAAGCCATACCCAGAGCATTCATTTAATGACTGGTGCACAACAGATCATTTTACAACCATCACAACCTATGACTGTGATAGACAGGCTACATTATGGTCATAAATTGAGGACTACCAATATTGCTTTAAAGAATCTACTTATTAAAGTTAATGTAACTCTTAAAATTAGTGGCATATATTTTGGGTTTTAAAAATATCAGATTATTTTAAGGCAGTGGTTCTCAACCTTCCTAATGCTGCGACCCATTAATACAGTTCCTTATGTTGTGGTGACCCCCAACCAGGGGTGGGTTCTAAAATTTTTTACTATCGGTTCTGTGGGCGTGGTTTATTTTGTGGGCGTGGCTTGGAGGTCATGTGACCAGGTAGGCGTGGCTAGCTGGTCATGTGACCGGGTGGCCATGGCTATGTATATAGGGACTACTCAGAGGGCTGAAAAAAGTCATTTCTGACAGATCCTTGCACTTTTGACTGGTCCTCACACTTATGACCATCCTCACATTTATGCCCGTGCAGCATTCTTAACAACCATGTCACTCATTTCAAACTGCTTCTCTTCAACATGGTGATAAGATAGGGCAAAAAACATAAAATGTGAGGATTCGTAAATTCGAGGACTGGTCAAAAGTGCGAGGACCAGTCAAAAATAACTTTTTCAGCCCTCTGAGTAGTCCATGTGCACAAAAGGACTACCCAGAGGGCTGAAAAAGTGATTTCTGACAGGTCCTCGCACTTTTGACCGGTCTTCGCACTTATGACTGGTCATCATTTATGTCCATTGTAGCATTCTTAACAACCGTGTCACTCATTTCACAACTGCTTCTCTTCACCATGGTGACAAGATAGGGCAAAAACGTAAAATGTGAGGACAGTCGTAAATTCGAGGACTGGTCAAGGTCATTCGAGGACCAGTCAAAAATAACTTTTTCAGCCCTCTGAGTAGTCCATATGCATAAAAGGATACAGCAATAGAGAGGGATGAAGGAAGGGAAGGGAAATTAGAGTAGGAGTGAGGGTAAGAGAGGAAGAGAGGAGGAGAAGGAGAAAGGAAGAGAAAGTAGGGAGGAGAAGAGGAGGGGGAGGAAGAGAAAGTAAGAAGGAAAGAAAAGAGAGAGGTGGTAGGTTTGAGGAGAAAGATTGCTGTACAATAAAAAAGATGAAAGGGAAGAAAACCAACCCCAAACAAATATAAAGATATTAAGATAACGAATGAATTGTTAAACTTTAAAGAATAAGAGAGAACAAATATGAATAAATAGCAATAATTAGAAACACACATACAAACATACAATGTATTTTCTTTGAACAAAGTATTTGGCCGGTTCACAAATTTAACCAGTGTTTCAGTCATTTCAATTAAATTTACAATTTCTATATTTTCTTTTTGACATATTTATTCCTCATCTATTTTTGTAAAAAATCAATATTACCCTTCATCCTCATCTCTAATGTTAATCAAATTCAATTTTTCCCTTCTATTCTATATTATAGCCCTTCCCATTGTCATCTATTTTTATATCCATCCTCACATTGGTTAATTATGTAATTATGTAACAGTTGTTTAATACAAATTCAACATTTTAATATAAATCAATTAGTTATATAACTATCTTTTTTGTATATCAATCAATATGAACATGAATATTCCAATTATTTCTATGCAATCTAATTTCTTACAGATCAATTAATTATATTTACCAATAATAATAAACCAAATAATTTCCCCCATATATTCCTCCAAACCACAACTTAACCATTTCTGCTTTCAACACAATATACAATTAATAGTATCTCAATTATTACAATTCCCTAGTTAAATAGAGCTTTTTTTCTTTTGTGTTTTAAAATCTTGAACTCTCCTCTTTTGCCTTAAATTTCCCATTGTTTGCACCTACCTTTTTTCGTGAGGAGAAAGAAAAAGAAAAAGAAATCTCTCTTCCTGCCTCATTTTGTCACGTTGCAACAGAGCCTGCTTTACTTTCAGTTTCCTTTTAGCTAGGGGGAAAAAAAATCTACTCCAGCAGCTTGCAAAACAAGAGCTTGCAAAAGAGCCTGCGCAAAACAGCTGAGAGCGAATCAGCTGAGAGTCGGAGGCCGATCTAATCATGCTAATTAACCTATGCTGAAGCTGAAAGAGGCTGTTTTTTTCTATTTTTGCAGGCACCGGTCTTCTCATTTGTTTTCTTTTAACACTGATCACCTGTAGGGCGGCCCTTTGAAGCCCCGCGACAAGAATTTAAACAGTTTTTTTCCCTCTAGCCATCAGCTGGGACTCAGGAGGCACAATAGATTGGGAGTGCGCGGGGTAAGCAAACAGATCCAACAGAGGCAGAGGATGAGGGTGAGTGAAGGCGTGGGAGGGGGCAAGAGAGGGCTTTGGCGACCCCTGTGAAATGGCCGTTCAACCCCCAAAGGAGTCGCGACCCCCAGGTTGAGAACCGCTGTTTTAAGGAATTAACAGAGAGGTGTTAAGCTCACATGAGGCCAAATAATTATTTTCTAAATCTGCTTAGCCCTTCAAACTATCATATTACAAAGTCCTTGTTTATTGCAAAATTTGGTTACTGGTTAAATTAAAGCTACAATTAAAAAAAAGCATTTGCCTTTCACTTGTTTTTTTTTCCAATCATGAAAAATACAGTATATTAATCAGAGACAATCAGCAATCAGTTTCAAATCTGGTTACAACAGAAAAAGCTATTAGTTTATACTAGCTGAAGTATTTTGGCAGAAAATATCCCAGAAAGAAGAGATATGTATTAGGAAACTGTCATTGGCAAAATGTGTGGTGAGGATGTGCATAATCTACAGAAACTGTCCTTTTTTTTATCAGAAGGAACTCTCTTATTGTGTCTTGAAATTAAAGAAACTATGAAGAATAAAAAAACAGGCATTTTTCTGACAAGTTGGACAAGATCTAACACCATTTTATTAGCCAAGAACAGCTGTTCTAGCAAGCCAGAAACAATTTTTCTTTGCAACCATGCTCTTTTAATTCTACTTTAAATAAAAGCATGAACTCAATTGCAAATTGTTTAACATTCTCCACTTTTATAAATGAGTGAGTCACAGCCACTTGAAGTGGGAAGTAAATTTTTTTCTTCCTTTTATTCTTTAATGTAAAGCCTGAATATACTTTACTTTCTCTTGCTACAATTTTGGCAGTTTTCAGAATTTTTGCCCCTCCTGGGTATTTCCCAACTCATCAATTCTTGCTTTAGGAATTATACAATAGAGCCTATCACAAGGGCCCAGAAACAATGCAGTGGAAATTTCTGTCTAGACAGAGGTGTCTCAAAAAATGATGCAAAATAAAAATAGAGGATTCTGCTTTGTAAAGGCCTCTTGCTTTGTAAAGGCCTCTTCCTTGTCCCATAAATGTCAGAAAGGGAGTCACAAGTATGGTGCAAGTGACTGTGTCATTGGAACAAACTCAAACATCTTTGTACAAATGATAAGACTTTCAAAGAGATTCTCTCAAATATTACTTTCCTATAAAACTGAAATAATTAATTTCATTAAGTTCTTTCCTTTTATAAATACTACAAATTCTTGTATTCAGGAATTTCACTTTCTGATAATTACTTTTCTTTTTCACTTTATCTTATATTTGTAACAAAATATAAAACAAAAGCTATTTGATTCTAAAGAAAGAGGTATTCTTTGTCTGTAGCTGTTGTAGTTTAAACATTCAATGATGACACAAAAGAGGCAAATCTAAACCAAGACGTTGCTCCAGAGAAACATTTTAGGGCACTTCTTCATCTCAAAATCAAAATCTCTCAAATGAAAAGGTTTCCAATTCAGCCACAAAGGAATGGGCATTTCCTTTTCCTTCAACTTTTCAAATTGATGGCCCATCGTTGTACGGGATGCAAATATGGATCTGTAACTAATTGTAACACAATACCCTCAGAATGCAGTGGACTATATTTCTTCTCTCCAACTGTAGCTGCAACATGAAATATATGGTTGTTCAAACCAGTTTTATTGTTTCCAGCATATCTGCCAGGATATAAGTACTATCCCATTCTTGCCCAGGTCGCTGAAGTGCCTTCTCCAAAATCTGAGCTTTCTCTTGAAGGTCTCTGGAAGATAATTTGACTTTACCCTCCTGCTGGCAAAAGATGATCTCATTTACTTCCCCTTCAATCTTCTGAGTATAAAGTACGGGGAAAGTCTCTTTGAGGGCAGCCAAAACAGACCCTTGAAGCAAGATATCTCGACATACCAGATTGAGAATAAAAATGCCTGCAGATAGAAAAAAATAAAATATTTTGGCTTACTATTACAATCAGTGAGGCTACATAACAAAGTATAGAATATTTCCTTCTGGTGGAATCCCCTTCTTGCCTTCTACATTCTTTTTTTTAATATACAAAAAACTAGCTGTTTTCTAATCACTAGACAGTATTGTAGAGTATCACATATTAACGTTACATTCTGTTTTTAATGATATAAAAACTATTATTTATTTCGTTACTTTTGTTCTCTTGCCACATGTTTTATTACTTGCCTGACCACAGACAGACAAAGGCTAAAATCTCTAGCAATAGTTTTGCAAACCTTACCAATCTTATGAGCAAGGTTTTTCTCAGGTCTGCAGAAATCTCTTCTGATATAGGCATGAATCACTTTTGCAAACTGGTGTAATGAACAGCAGACCTGATGGTAGCAACCAATATAGTTTTATTGAAGAGGCATCTCCTTGAACAAGACTCTAGTCATCTTCTTGACTAGAATTTCTAATTCAATTCATCTCCTGAAAAGAGTTTATTTAATACATTATCCTAAGCTTTACTTATCCAATAAAGGCAATAAATGCTGACTCAATGTGTTTCGTAAAAACATGACGCAGTACACAATTTTATGTGTTGTTTAACAAAAATCTCTTTTTCTATTAACAGGTATCATTCTAATCATGTTATTGTCGTGGTACTGCAAAATTTCAAAGAATTTTTAAAAGTTCACTGATTCTAGAACAATTCATATCAGTTAGATCCAAATAAAAAGACAGGATAGCTCCTTGAGGCAGTTCATCATTTTACTTTTTTCAGACACTTACAACTGAGTAGTTCTCACCTTCTGTTTTCAAAAGCGTTCTCACTTTCTGAAGAAAAGTTTTCTCCACAAAGGCTGGTGGTGGACAGCTTATTCCCAAAGTTGAGTCCTTGCTGTCCACATCAAACATTATTACATCATAAGATGATGGAGCTGGGAAGGAAAGGGGGAAAAGTAGAGCATATTTCTCACAAAATATCAGTAAGGATCATTAGAGCTTACGTGTTGCCAATAACATTTGTGAAAACAATATATTTTGTTTTTTTTTGTTTTTTTTATAAGTAACTCAAATACAAATTTCCCCCCTTTTTTTTCCCCTCTCCCTCCCCCTCCCTAACCCCCCCTCCCCACCCATCCCCCCCTGTGACTTCTTCATAACAAAAAAAAACCCTAATTCATAACAGATTACTTACTCCCTCCTCTAGATATTGACCTTTACTTACTAAAAATATTATTAATATTATAACATCCCCCTTTATCCATACATATCAAAAAAGAGAAAAGAAAGGAAAAAAAAAAAGACATTATACTATGACATTATAAAATAACTTCTCCACTTTAAAGCTATACGATAAGTCCTACTTTAACATTTAATCTTCTATATATATTACTATAACATTCCAAAGCGGCCTTCCCCATAAAATCTAGTTTAACATTTATTCCACTCTATCCATTTCTTCCACTCCCCTAAATATAACACTTAAAAATCCCTTTTCTTAGACTAATCAATCTACTAAATAGCTTATTCACCCACTATCATGCAAAATTGCCATACACAACATTTCTTAACATCTTTGATTCACTGCCCACACTTCTTAAAAATATATGTCTATATTTTCCATTATATCTAAATAAAAAAAAAGAAAAGACAATGACTTTAAATTTATAATCCATATAGTATCTTCTTTGAGGTCTTTCCACTGGATTGGTAGAACTAACATCCATAATCGGGTAACATAGCTTACTGGTGCAACAGTTTATTCAGGATCTTCAATCATATCTGCCCCCATCAGTAGTAAATATCTTCTTATATGTATAAAAGTAAAAACAACCACCCGAGTGACATTATAATTATATTCCATATAGTAATAATTGTGGGTTTCATCAGGATTATTAATTCCCATCATCGTAGTGGGTAACAACCCGATCTTCTGCATGCCCCAGCATAATTCTCTTGCCTTGTGATTCAAGATAATATAATATATTTATCAACACAAAAAGAAATTCCAAAATGGATAATTCAAATCCATCAGTTTAAGGCTCGTTTCACGTCCCCAGATTACGGCCATGCAGAGATCTGCCACAAACCTCAGGATGATATTAACCAATACGTCGCCTCTTCTGTGTTTACACATAATCGTTCATATTTTAAAATCACTGGCTTCACTGTTGCCTGATTAGAAATTTCTGTTTTTATGCCACCTATTTCTTTTTTTCTTTTCTTTTTGTGGGTTTGGTTTCCATCCTGGTTCCCTTTCTATAAAGTGTGTATCATCTGGTCGGTTTTTATTCTGCTTTGTAGATTGGTCTTGTTGGTTTTGCTTTTGTATCTCATATTTCTTTTTTATCCCTTGTATATCCCCTAATTGGTTTCCATGTTTATCCTTGCCTTGATAAGTCATCACATTAGGATTAGATGCCTCTTCTCTCAAATTTGTAGATAGTCCAGCTGGGGTATCCAATAAATCCAAAGGCAATTCATCTGGTACAGTCTCTGTAATTCGATATTTTACCTTTATTTCCGGCTCCTTCTGCTTATCCTGTATTATACCTGGAGATGTTAAGTTCATTTTCAACCTATTTTGATAAAATTCTTCCGCTCTTTCAACAGTATTTAGCTGATATCTTTCTCCTTGGTATCTAAATATAATACCCACTGGGGCGTCCCACCTGTAGGAGATATTTCTCTTTTTTAACTCATTCACCAGAAAACCAAATTTCTTCCTTTCCATCAATATCTTAGGTGGAAGTTCCTTGTAAATCCAAATCTTTCTTCCATACAATTGCAAATTAGAATTGAAGGAGTTTTGAACGATATTATTCCTAATCTCCTTATCTGTAAAATAAATCACCACATCTCTAGGCCATTGCCTTTGCTTAGCAATCCAGGAGTTGATTCGATAAACTCTGTCGATCCTACAAAACACTTCGTCAGGTTGAACCTTTAGAATCCCAGCTAGAAATTCAGAAGATATTTTCCTTAAATCATCTCTATTATTTTCCTGCAAACCTCTTAATCTTATCGCATATTCTGTAAAATTATATTGTACCATTAAAATCTCTTTTTCAATCTTCTGTTGCAGATTTTCTGCATTACCATACTTTTGATCAGCATCCATTTTAGGTTTTTCTTCTAAGCTATTATCCTGAGTGTTTGTCAAATCATTTTCAATTTTTTGAATTCTATTGTCCAATTTATCTTGAATTTCTTCCATTTTAGACTCTAGTTCATTAGTATTTGCGTCCAACTGTTTCATAAATCCTGTAAAACCATTAACCACTTTTGAGAGTTTTTTCTCCAAAAAATCAAACTTAGATTTCACCAATTCTTTAATTTCCTGCTTAAATTTTTCAAATTGCTGATTCACAATCTCCTCCCTTCTTTCAATCTCCTCTATAAAAAATTCTAATATATTAAAGTCAGGTTTCTGAGACTGAAGAATTAAGACTTGTTCCTTTAAGTTGTTGGTGGGGGGATCCCCCCCCTTCTTGTTTATCTGACTTTATGAGTCTCAGTGCCATGTTTCCGCCCAGGCAGGCTTTGTTAAAAAAAAAAGCAAGAAAAAAAAAAAGGGACTTCTTTCCAATCAACAACAATATCAGGTCTCCAAGGGAAAAAAAAAGAGAAAAAGACACAGGAGCAAAGTTTTGTCTACAAATGTAGCCAGTGGTATTTATTCCGCTACATTGTAGTAATAGAAAACGGAAAGACTTCCCTTTCAGCCTCTCCTCCAGCCAACGCCATTTTAAAAGGCTTCTTTTTTTTTTCCTCTTTCTTTTCCTCCTCTCTCTTAAGTAATTTTTTTTTAAAAAAAAAAAAAATCAGTAAAATACTTGCAGTTCAATATTACAGGTCCAGCTCACATTTTCTTTGAGTAGTCTGTTAAATTTGCAGGCTTGCTTTTGACGCCTGGCTCTGCATCAGCAGAGGTCTCCCAAAGCCCGGAGCGGCGGCTGGGGATACGGGGCATCTCATCCGCTCCGTCCCAAAAGTAAAAAAAAAACTTTTGGGACTCCGCAGAGAGTTCTACCCACCCCTGCCGGCTCTATCTCCGTTTCCTCATGGAAACGGAGTTTTTTCGAGCCGCCATTCCGTTGTGAAGGCGGCTCTAACAGGCGATGGAAGCTGACGATCCCAAAGGAACGTCTGGCAGCGGCAAACAGCAACCGGAAGTCCAATATATTTTGTTTTTCAAATCTATCTGCTTTGTAGTCTTACAGACATGAAAATAAGACTTTATGCCTAAAAAAATCCCAATCCATGGCAATCACAAGAGCATCTAAAAAAACATTTTACTGAGTAAGACTGGCCCTACCCAGAAATGAACATGATGAACATCCTGTTCTTCAGAATATTCTCCCAATTACATCAGCTATTGAAACATATCCAGCTCAAGATCTCCCTCTTTAGATATTATCTATCACATTAGATAATCACTGCTGTAGACTTTGCTAAATAGAACCAAAGTCAAAGGCAATTGAGAAACATTTTACCTAAGTGCATTTAATCACAAATCCTTCTTTTTTTGTAGATTGATATGTTTATCTACTGACCAGAATTTCCCATAAAATGGACGTTGACTTACCTGAACGTCCCTTTTAGGAGTGCTGCGACCACTGTCCATAACCGGGATCTCCACTTCAGATCTTGACAGTAACTGAGTGAGAGCTGACAAAACTCTCCCTGTTAAGGCACGCCTCCAATCCCATGATCCTCCAGTCTATCACGAAGACACAGCAAGACTCCACAGAAAGTTCCAACGGCAAGTCCATAAGAACAGGTCTTTGGCCAGGAACCAAGGCAGACAGTCTGAAAAAAAAAAAACCTGCAACACCAGAATAACAGGAACAAGGGAAGGGAAATGGACAGTGGTCGCAGCACTCCTAAAAGGGACGTTCAGGTAAGTCAACATCCATTTTCCAGAGTGCTGCTCCCACTGTCCATAGCTGGGACATACCCAAGCTCAAAGAACTAGGGCGGGAGACTGGCTGCCCCCGAACCCTTGTCCAAGACGACGCTCTGCAGGACTCGCCGCCCAAAGGCAGCATCCGAAGAAGCGTACGAGTCAATCCGATAGTGACATATGAACTGCGACACCGAGGACCATGTGGCAGCTCGGCAAATGTCCTCCACCGAAGCTTGTGTCGCCCACGCAGCAGAGGTAGCCGCGCTGCGGGTGGAGTGCGGTAGAATGTGCCCCGGAACAGGTTTCGCTGACAACTCATACGCCAATGAAATACACGCCTTGAGCCACCTGCCAACCGTGGCCGCGGATATCTTCTGGCCCATAGAGGCCAGGTGGAAGGAGACCAGCAGAACCTCCGTCCGACGAAAGGTGGCAGTCCGGTGGATGTATATACAAAGTGCCCGTTTGACGTCTAACTTATGCCATCGTCGTTCGGTAGAGTTCCGTGGAGACGGGCAGAAGTCCGGCAAGGAGAGTTCCTGCGCCTGGTGAAAAGGAGAATTTACCTTCGGGAGAAACGTAGGATCAAGTCTCAGAGTCACAACGCTATCACGGAACATACAAAGGTCCTCCCGAATCGAAAGTGCCGAGAGCTCTGACACCCTCCGGCCGGAGGTGATAGCCAACAGGAATGTGATCTTAAACGACAAATGTTTCAGAGTAGTCGACCTCAAAGGCTCAAATGAGGAAGATGTCAGAGCCTGAAGCACAAGCGGGAGGTCCCAGGTAGGGTACCTGTGGACTTGAGGTGGACACAAGTTCGTCGCGCCGTGAAGAAAGCCTCTGATAAGTGGATGGCGTGAGAGAGAGTCATAGGGAGGACACTTCAAGACGGTGGATAAGGCCGCTGTTTGACGCCTCAACGTCGCAGGAGCCAGGCCCTTCTTAAGTCCCGAATGTAGGAACTCTAAAACTTCTTCCACCGTCGCTGAGGTGGGATCCACATGCCTCGAAGCCCCCCAGGCG